TTTTTTTTTTGCGGTACTGGGGATTGAACTCAGGACCCTGCACTTGCCAGGCAAGCACTTATTCTACTGAGCCATCTCCCCAGCCCATCCAAGCCATTCTTTAGACTTTAATATTATTCTTCACTACAGTGTTAGCACTGTTCCTTAACTCCTACTGTGTGCAAGTTTTAATATTAATAGTTCTAATTTGAATTGTCTTTTAAGAATAAACAACAAATTATACTTGATTTACTTGATTAGTGTCTCACATTGAATCTAAGTGTTTAAACTGGGTGCTGTGGTACATACCTATAGTCTCAGTACTCAGGAGGCTGAAGCAGGAGGATTGCTGTGAGTTTGAGACCAGCTAAGGGCACATTGTGAGTTCAAGGGCTGCCTGAACTACATAGTATGACCTTGTCTCAAAAAGCAAAGGACAAAAAGTATCAAAGTGTTTATGTTCATTTTTGTGTTTAATTTTATGGTTAAGTACAAGACACAGTTTTAATTAACATTTAGAAAAACCCATGAGAAAACATTTTGTAGCCAATGTCAATGAATGATTGTTGAATGAAAGAAGTGGTTTTAGGGCCAGGGAGATAGCTCTGCAGTCTAAGTGCCTGACTGGCAAGCGCAAGCCCTGGAGTTCGATCCCGGTACCACATGCCGTGCCAGCCCCAGAACCCCAGGCATGCCATGCTGGCCCTGAAACCAGGCGTGGTGGTTTCATTCACATGCCTGTAATCCCAGCGCTGGGCAGGCTGAGACAAGCTGCATAGTGAGACCCTGTGCCAAATAAATAAATAAATAAGATTTTGAAGTAATTAAAAAAAGAGAAAGAAGTGGTTTTAGGATAAAAGCTAAGAGCTGGACTGAAACCAAGTATTTTCTTGGCCACAGTGTTAGATTGTATCAGTTTTCATTTGACATAAAATAAAAGCAGTTCAAATGGTGATGATGAGAAGTAAGTGAATAGTGAGCTGTCTTCAGCTGCTGCTGCTATTATCATTCATTTGAGGTTTATTTTGAATTCACTGTGTCCTTTTTTCTTCCATGTTTTTGTTTTTTGGTGCTTTCCATTAACTGGATATTTTAAATGAGAAGCCATTTTTTTAAAAAAAAAATTATATATTTGGTATAGGGTCTCACTACATGGCTCAGACTCATAGTGATCCTCCTGTCTTAGCGTCCCCAGTGCTGGGATTACAGGCGTGCACCATCACGCCAAGTCTTGGTGGCCAGCTCAGCACACATGTGGTTCTGTGGCTGGTATGGCATGTGGTACCATATTTGAACCCAGGTCCTTGTGCTTGCCAGGCAGGTGCTGAGCTATCTCTACAGCCCAAGAAGCTGTTTCTAATGAGAAAAATGTGACACAATGGAGGATTTAAAAATAAATATATTTCGGTGGAAAGTGTAAGAAAAGTTAACTTGTAAAGGAATCGCATTCACTGTGTTTCTGTTTTGATCATTATAGGTTGGCTGCCTGGCTGTTCATATAAAGAACTGCAAACATTTTCTGCCTTTGAGTATCCTTTCTGTGGATTTATAAATCGTGGTGTGATCCTTTCTCCCTGTCTCACTTACCCACTGCTACCTTCCAGACCACTCTACAGCTTAGTGACCACAAAGATGAACCATTTTATCATTGATGCGTCTGCTGGGGGGTTCTTAGGCTTTCCAGTATCGCAGCTCAGGGTGTAGCTGGCTGGCAGGTCAGCAGTCTGGAGCATGGCTGCTGTATATGTGTTGGACACTTAGAGGGGTTGCTTAAAAGGCTGGGCTAGGGCAGGTGAGATAGCTCAGTGGATTAAACACATGTTTTGGCAAGCGCAGGGACCATGGTTCTATCCCCGGTCCTGCATGCTGTGCTGGCCCCACCTCTGGGGCCCACTGAGCTGGCA